GGACCCTAAACCATAATAAACCCTAAACCCTAGTAAACCCTAAACCCTTTCATTCCTAAACCCTGATAAACCCTATAAACCCTAAACCCCTTGATAATAATATTAGAACCCTTACCTGGCTCCAGGAAGGGACTGCCCGCCAGCGGTCACACTGGAGCTGAAGCGCTTGACAGTGAAGGGCAAGAAGAGCGCCTTGGATCTTATGGGGTAGTTTAGAACCGAAGCTGGGTGAACTCGTAGACTACAAATATTAATACCGTAAACTTGTTATTGCGGCTATACTGGATCCAAGATATGAAAAAGCTGCACGAGTTGTTCAATGAATACATCCTCTCCGGGGAGGAATGGGGCCAAAGCCGGGTGGTTGCAATTCACACATTTCTCGAGAGCACCAGCAACAGGAACACCTGGAGATGGATGACAAAAAAGGCCAGCAAATGTATTAATTATTATAAATCGATCTATCTAAATTAGCAACCCCAAACACTAGAGTTTTGCTATATTTATGAATTAGCCCCTGCAGGCACTGATCCGCCTCTACGAGGATGAGCAGCTCGTTGACACGTTGATCGAAGAGAAGGATGAAAGCAATTAAGAAGCCAACGCCTCAACCTATAACATCCCTGTAAAACCCTAATCCTACATTCCCCTGGAGGAAGCCGATCCTGCCATGAACAAGGTTCACCCAGACTTCCCGAACAATCGTGCCCCGTGGCTTTCATCATCATGTGCCCATTATATTTAATTTGGGGTATATCAAGATAATCTCTAGGGGGTGAATTAGTGTTTTTTTTCTTCAGTCGAGTTTTCCAGCCGGCCCGCAGGCTATGAAGCTGTACAAGTGTTGGGTGGATGCTACGGAGACAAAGGAGGAGATGGAGAAGTACCAGCTCGACTACCTTCGCGAGGGCAATGCAGGCGATCCTGGTCCCGAGATCCCGGATGGCGACGACACCGCGACGAAAAAAGATGGAGAGACAAAAAAACCGAAGGATAACCCCAAGACGATCAAGGCGAAGACGACAACGCAGTTGGCCTCCAAAGTCCTTTGGCTGAATGTTGTTCGCTGAGATTACAGTTCATCATGTGCTCACGAGGCCGTGACTGTGTGCAACACATATCTCTTGGAGATCAAGGGTCACAGGACGTTGTTGGAGAAGAACAATGTGCTCCTTGCTGTGCAATAGCTATACAACAAATTTCTTATGCCTATATAAGCTATGATGATTCCACGGGAATTCGTAATGAGCTCAGGGGCCCGGAATTGGTGGATGCATTGTGTTCAACGATGGCGACCCATGCCACCGTTCTCACTCAGTACTTGGATCAAGTTCAGGAGCCACAATTCTCAAGTCATGCAAGCACACCATTTCACAGGCATGTACGTGTTGCCAGGAACTCCTGGCGAAGCAGGCGACGGGACCGGTCTTGGAAGAGGCCCTGCAGTTGCTGGCAACAGCAAATGCGAACTACAAGACGGCGGCCAAACACGTCAAGCTGCATCAGGCAAAGAAGTCAACCGGTAGTGCTGATCCCAAGGCAAAGAGCAAGGCAAAAGCCAAAGCTCGGAGCTGATTCATGTGTACAGAACGGACCATCTTTGTATCAGAGCCGTCGTTGTCATGTCAGCTGGCCTGTGTTTGCAGGTCTAAAGAGCTGTCTGCATGGCCTGCTTGAGCCTAGCTACAACTTACAATTAATGGGCTTTAGGGCTATATTAGGGCTCGGCTAGCCTACCTGTACCCTCGGCAAATCTAGGCTTCAATTTGTCATTCCTCACGAGTCAAGCTTGCCAAGACAGCACGGGGTAGATGAGCATGGATCATGTGGCCGCAGACACAAACGACGCAGAAACAAAAAGTTATGTCGTGGCTTAGCCCGAGCAACCCTGAAACCCGATTCCTTGTAATCTCAAAACCTGAAGCAAGGGTTTGCAATCAAGGCATTATTAAATGAACTCGGAACCAACCCCCCGAACCCCTAATGCACCCTAAAGCCTTGTAAGGCTTCGTTTTGTTTATCTGTTTTCTACATTCGGGAGGAGCCCAACCCACGAGCTAATTCACCCAAACCCTTGCAACCTGAAACCACGAAGCCATCGAACAAGCAAGGGTCTTCGAATAGAGAGTGCTGGGTTTAAAGAGGTTTTGTTATATTCGGAACCCGTAACCACCGAACCTACCCTAAACCCTTCTAACCTCCAACCCTGAAGCAAATTAAGATCTGAGCAATTACCCTTTGCGCTATCTAGATTCGGAACCCGAAACCCCCAAAACCCTAACATATATCTCAAACCTTAACGTAACCTCAAACCTCAAATCCTCCAAAGGAAGCTCTGCCCTATCTCGAAGTAGCTTGTGATGGGTGCTCGTTAGATAGCCATCCTACCATCGATCCTTCAATCCCGAAAATTCTTATAAATTATAATCCCTCAAAGATCCCCTCGCAGGTGACACGAGTTTCGCTGACCTTAGGCTTCGCAACCTGGGGACCGGAGCCGCTCGTCTTAAAACCCTATCGGGGTATATGATAAAAGTGTATTAACCTATAGTCATTGCATAAAAAAAAAACATCCCTGAACCCCCGCAGGCATCGACAGCTTGTGCTCTCCAAGAAACAGCTGCTGCCATGCTGTCCGAGTCAAAGAACACAGCGAGTGACCTCACTCGGAGGCTCGCCAAGGCGGGGAGCTTTGGACGGCATCGCCAAAATGTGGCTCGGGACATTTTTCGTGCCCTTCAACTGCCAGTGGTTACTGGACACATGATTTGGAGCACATTTCTCCCGTTAACCCAATCCCAGATCTAGAACCTTAATAAGGAGCTTAAGCTTTGAAAAGCCCTCAAGCCCCAAAATCTAAACCCATGTAGACTCTACTAACGTTACAATCGGGGGGTCTGTTCATCCACCCAGGAGCTCTTTTACGTCAAAGTTCCGATCCGCGACCCTGGTGACCGAAAGACTGAAACTGAAATGGATCTGCCACTGGTCCTCCCGCATGAGCTGTATGCTGTGTGGATCGAAACTTGGTCTGAATCAACATGATATGGTTGGGCTATCTTACTTTGATGAGGCTTCGGGTTTGCAATTGGGGGATCGAGGGTATCGTGTCTTCTGATCATGATCTCAGTCTAGGAAAAGTCCCTGATGGATGTTTCCCAAGAATCGCTGCAGTTTTACTGGAATCATGTGAAAGCAAGATCGAAGACAACGCCAGTTGGTTGTGAAGAACTTTCAGTTCCACTGGGAGTGTGGGGCGATGATGCTCGCTACAACAGGAAGGGTGAGAAACTATTGCTGTATACAGTAAACTCGATATTGCACAATCACAAGCGACTCTTGGCTGTTGTTGCAAATTTGCTGGTGTTGGCTGGTGATGTATTTAATTATTTAGAAGTCACTTGATATGCTAGTGTCTGAGGTCAGCAAATGCACCGCTACCCCCTATTCAGCATCCGTGACCACCTTTGCCTGCCTGGCGGTCGCACGTTACGGCCTATCTTCAGGGCTCTCACGTGGAGCTTCAACGTGGCCTGGGGTATTCTAGTTCTTTTAGTATCGAGCCCCGTAGAAGCAGCAATCCTATAAATCGAAATAGCCCAGGTCCTTTATGCCGGAAAGTACCCAGACACTGGACCAGATTCCGAACCACTGCCGAAATCCATGGCCAAGAAAGCCGGGCAGCTGATTGATGGAGGTAGCTGTTGCAGCGCCCAATAATCCATGCCAGTAGTTTAGCCATTGCAATTATAGCTACGACACACCCTGGGGCAAGCAATCTTCGGAGTGGGTTAACCCTTTAAACTCTCAACTTTCAACCTCCCTATAGACCTGAACTCGTTAAGTAGCCGGAACCTTAAACCGATCACATCCAACGACACCCTAGTTCTATATATGCGACGAGTATATCATATCATTAAAAAGCTATATTATATGAATATGGGGTCCAGCAGGTCGTACAGATCTAATCAACTACTTGCAATATATAGTCATGACAGGTTGTTGGGAGATGCATTTACTGGGATAGTTAACTGGGACACTCTTTAATTTGATTTGGTAGCTTTGATAGGAAGCGCTGGCATTGACAGCAGGTCGTACATGTGTTGTCGTCGAGCATCGGGGAGACTGGAAGTGGATTAAAGAATGCTGGGCATTCGCTGCTAACTACAACTATCGGTCTCGCGAAGTGTGCCACCACTGTGTGACAAAACAAACGGGGCCAGATGGGATCCCTGACGAGTCTATACGTTTGTGTTATACATGTATGTTAACTTGATAAGCTACATTTCTTTAAGGCGACCCCATGATTGCTCGTTTACATCCCAAGCCTAGATGGGCAGCTGACCTTCTTCGGACGTTTGCCAGACGAAGTGATGTGAACATTATTGCCCGAGTGATGCTGGAGGACTCCATTAACCCGCTGGTCGGGCTGGTGGGATTCAAACCATCATCACACATCAAATTTTGCACCATGCATATTGTGAACTTAGGGCTGGGGCAAACCCATGCTGGCAGCGCTCTGGAATTACTCCTCAGTCTTGGATGCTGGGCCTCACCTGACCCCTAAAAGTTTTCATATATCTTGTTTTGTATTTATTATTACAAAATAACGATTATTACCCTAGAAACCCTAATATGAATCTAGGGTTCTGGGGCGCCCATCCGGACAGCTCCAATGGGCTTCGAGCTGCAAGTGTCGACTTCCGAGCATGGGCCCGGTCACAAAGACCCCCGATTGAGCACCGTGTCATGTAAAGTTTTGGTTCGAATCTAGATAAGCAGGCGCCGGTTAGAGCGATTTTGTATGAACCGTTTCCAATATCGTTGTTAAATAATAGAATACAAGGCATTCAGTCCCCATCATTACACCTGGCATGATGCGGGACAAATCGGAAGCCGGCGAGCACTGTTGTTTAACTTTGAAGGCTTGGAACACCAGAATATTTTGGCCTACTTGGAAGTTTGCTTGCGACAGCAAATTCAACGTGATGAAACAGCAGGACGTGCTGTAAATCCGGAGCTGCTTCTTGCATCGCTTGCTACCTTCGAACTGGTCAGTTGGTTCTTGAAACAAGAAGAAGCCGACAGGCGATACCTTCGCCCTGAGCAAGCCGCTGCCATCTCAAGCCACGGAGACAACTACTTGAAGTACATCCAGAACCTGTCTCGTTTTGCAACTGCCAATGCACTCTTGAGATGGAAGATCTTACCAAAACATCACGAACCCACTCTTTTGTTTCCAGTATACCTTTTAAGTTTTCCTAGCTGCAACTATATGATTATATAAGCAGTAAAACCATAGCATGGTCTGTCAACTTTCAATTTTCCTTTCAGGTGTTCAAACACGTGAACGAAGACATGCTGGTGACTGAACAGTCGGCCCGGTCTTACCACGCTTTTGTTGATGAAGATTGTGTATTGCAGTGGAAGAAATTGGCGACCAACATGTCATCACATGGGCTGGAGGAGAAACTCCTCCTGCGGTACTTGCTGCGGCTGGGAGCTGTCGAGCGCTGATCGGGGAAAAGATTGAATTCGTTTTCGGAACTTAAGTGGGATTCCAGATTCCTTGCAATTGAAATCTGTAGCCTGTATCATCTACAAAGTTTGTTTGTTCTTGAATGGGAAGTTTGTAATGTTTTATGGTCTAAATCGACGAAACATAAGGGATACATGGTATAAAATCAAGACATGCTATTGATGTTGCATGCCCTCCTTGCTGAGTAACAACTCTAGCCACCACTTTTAGATGTTCGAACTCCTAAAGTGTGGTCCTTGCTCGAGCTATATACAGCCCCCCAGAAGGGCCTTTTGAATGTATGCCCAAATCGGCGACGTACCCTCTTAAGCTGTGTATGTAGTAGATTCTTCTCCACGCACCCAAAAGTAGCTTGATTCAGCATACTTTGGAGCCCCCGGGCAATAAATATTGCTTACACGCACAGTATCTAGCAGTTGTTAATGTTGTCGTGTACTTATGAGCTATCTTCTAGACATTTTTTGAATATCAATAACGCGTCAAGTATGTGTGAGATCATGAGATACTGGCCGAAAAATTCATATCACATGCCAAGCGATATCAATAATTCATGGATACCAAACACCAAGCGATACTGATCATTGCGAAGCATCTCTTGTAACGGTAGTTCGAATGAACAAACCGATCGCTATCTAACAGTTGTTGATGCTGTCCTTCACTTGTCGCCAACTATCTTCTGAATATTTCCGTACTACCAACAACGTTTTAGGCATATACTTATGGGATATTGGTCGAATAACTCTTGAATATCAAACACAAAGCGATATTGATATGGCTGTTTCATGAATATCAATGTTGGGTTCCAAGCAAAA